AAACACCGTCGCTTTTCTGCAGTTTTGTGATACAAAAAATGTTTTGAACAGGTGATCGTGATTTAATTCTAGGCAATGTCCTCTGGTTTCCATTATCAAAAATATATACTACTCGCTTTTAATATATGAAAATTATTTTTTTAAACTCAGTATATTTAAAATTATTCCAGAAAAATAAATGGTGATCTCCGTCCATAAAATAGCGATGTAACAGCTACCAAGCAACAGTTTTATGTCAGAGACAAAGACCTATTCACATAAAAATGATTTTTTGAACTGATTCACTTTAAAATATCAAATTTTGATTTTTGAATTACTTTATTCTGGAAAAGCAACGACATGTAAACAATTTATGTATTTTTTTTTCTTCTACTACTTTTTCTAGTAGATTCATTTTTACTTTAAGTATACAGACAACCATTGAATCTTTTATGCTTCAAAATTGTTCTATAGAATTACAAATTCTATTGGATTTCAGCAAAAATAATATTTTTGGAATAATATATCTTTATTATTTACGATAGTTATTAGATAATTCTAAAAGACTAAATAGACCTATAACAAGTATTATACTTCAATTCTGGGTAAAAACAATTATTTTCTCGCTTTTTGTTCTGTGTCCGTTTAGAATTTCCCCTGAGAAAATTGCTGAGATGGTTCCTTGTTTTGCTTCCGAAAACAAAATGTACCATCGCTAGTGCGCACGTTTGATTTTTGATTTTTTTTATTTGTGGAGAGTTAGAATGGAATGCAGTGGTTTCATTAGTATCTAAATATTGTTTCTCATATATTAGTGGTAGTGACTCGATTATTTCATACTGGACACGGCAACATCCAACATTTATAGCTAATTTGCCGATGCAAATGGTGGCTTTCATACGGAAGCGAGTATTTCATGTAAACAATTGTTTCAAAAAACACTCGTTGCTATCTTTACTCACAAATAAATTTAATACAGTAAGAGTGCGGGGTAGGAATTCCGGAGCTGTAGAATGCATTAACAAATTGTACTCCTTCCCATATTTCACAAACACTTTTGACTGTGTTTGACATAAAATAAATAAGTAAAACAAAATACACGATAACATAAATAAAATAAACAATAAACAAATAATAAATAAGTAAAATTAATAAATAAAATAAAATATAACATAAAATAAAATAAATAATAACATAAAATGAAATAAATAATAACATAAATAAATAATAAATGAAATGAAAGGCGCCGAAATGAAATAAATAATAAATGAATGTGGAGTACGGACGGCGTGCGGTGCTTCGCGCCCTTCCCCCTCTCAGCATTGGTTGGCGCGGCGCGGCGCGTTGCGATGCGGTGGTCGCACGCGAAAACTGAAGCTGGCGTCCTCCGCGCCGCCGCAACCGGCGGATTCGCCCGGATTTCATAGCCCGCCCCCGCCCCGCCACCCGCGCTTCGACAACTTAGACATCGCCCAGGTGGAGCGCTGGGGGGGGGGGGGAGGATGAAAGGGACGTGATTGACGGACGTCGCCCTCTATTCCCGGCGGCAGCAGGCTGCGGAGACCGGCTGTTGTACGTACGCGCCGCTGGAAACGGGGGATGTTGAATACCGTGCCCACGGGCAAGCCGGATTACACTTAAGTTCCATACCAAGGGAGAGTTTATTGTCCCGGAGAAGAGGGTTACTGCAGTTTAGGGGTGTACTACTTCTTCGGATTGCAACGTACCGTCAGCCCGGCGTCTGCATAAGCCGGAACACAACGCGCAATGGGAACGTCTACCAACTTAAGCGTGGGTGAGGCCGACGAGGACTTTCATTTGTGGAGACCGGCTGAGGTGGCTCAAGGCACCAACTGACGTCACTACAGTGCGTCTGACCAGGATGTGTTAGGGTTCGAGTCCGACACTAGCTAGATACCTGGGCCGAATCCACCCACCGTCTGGAGAATAATTCTAGCGGATGGATGCTCTGATCGGTAGTTTGGTTTCTTCCATCAACACCAGGCAAATGCTGGAGCAGTACCCCAACAACGGGCCACGAATCGCGTGCGATCTTTCCTTCCTCTTCCATGACTTATCCACATTCTTTACTTTACTCTTTTACACATGCACTTACATACACTATATTACCACACGTCGAGAGTTTAAAGCTTGTCCCGGCTGGAGTTGTACCTCGCTGGTGCAATATAACTGAGTGAAGAAAATCTCGCAAGCCGACGTGAAGGTTGGAGCCGGATTTTGACAGGTAGCAAGGGAAGAACACCGCCACTTTGCGTGACAAAACGTGCACTGCACTTACGGTACCAAATACTGTAGCAGATGACGCGCCTGCAAACACAAAATAATCAATTAATGAATTATTTGTGGGACTACGACACACGGCCGCAGCTCCTAGCCCGCGGAAAGAAACAAATGGATAAAGAGCGATGCAGAGTCTTAGGTGATGCAGCAGAAGTAGATAATTTCACCGTGGGTATTTGTATTTTGTCATTATACGTCTCATAAAGGGCAATTGGCCTCGGCACTGATAGATCCCGGGGTTCCTAGTCACTCACCCAACGAGGAATCCGCGATGTCTCGAGTTCGTGTAGTTAACAAATCCGGCTAGCGACGCCGGTTTCGCGATCGTGGCCATTCAGTGATACCATCTCAGCTTTCGCCTGGATTATCGACGGAAACCATGAAAACCCCGGTCAGATTGGCCGGCACTGGGATTGTACCCGGACCTCCAGAATTTGAAGTCAGCGGGTTACGCCCAGCACCACTTCTCTTGGTCCTCTGCGGGTAAACATTGCCAAAATCGCAGGATGCAAAGTTCGTTTAAAGTTACTACGGAGAGATAGGAGTTTAGCAAAATGCGTTTAGCAAAATGAAGATGGAAATTTGTCGACCGAGAACCTCGAGCTCACAAACCGGAATCTCGAGATCAGAACTTGTCTCGAGGCGATAGAAGTAGTGCAAAGCTCGGCTCGTAAACGTAATTCTGGGCATTAGAATGGTCGTTGTATTTTCAGGGTAGTGAAATTTAAGTCGATTGTTTTCAACACACACACTTTTTTTTTTCATTTTGGACTTAAATCATAGTGTACCAAAAATAACTGATATCAATTTACATTTACCCGTGCCACAAAGAACCTGTACTTGTACTTAAACAAAAAGTACTAGTTATAAGAGAGTTTTTTCTTTATTTTCCATCGGCATAAATAAGAGATAAACAAATCAACAAATGTATTTAAATACACGTCATATAATATAATAACAAAATTATTACGAAATATAAAATGAAATAAACTTAACATAAAACTTTATTACCATTTTTGTCATTATTCTCTTCTCATCGTCTCCGTTTTACAATCTATGAGCTATAGCTAATGATTCATCACTCATATCAGATCAAAATTCTTTCTGTTCTTCATCAACAGTTAAGACTAGGCTACGTTGTGCTATTACTTTATATCTTTCATTGCAGAATCATTTATTAAAAATATATTTATACTTTAATGCCTTCTTGGCATTAAGGTATAAATTTCTTTTCAAAAATGAAGAGTTTTTGTAAGACTCCCTTAAAGTCCAAGTAGCGTAACACCATTACTCCTATTTATTTACTTATTGAGGTTGATAATTATATTCAGTTGGTCGACTCCTTAAAACGACAAGCTTCAAAACGACAAAATCGAAGAAAAGAGTTGTTAGTGTGATAAGGTTCCATCTAACTTACATACTTGTGCTGAAATTTGTGGACAAACATCTATTAGAAATAGCAATACTGTAGGTGGAGGGATGTTTGAATAGGAAGAAAGATCTGATCTTAGATCGCACCTTGAAATTCTAATGGATCGAAGTGACATTCTATTAGCAGCACAAAAGGTTCAGTGTAAGTAATTTAGCAACAGTGATGTTTGGACACAAGTTTATGTAGTCAGCTGATCCAGCCGTCTATGGGCAGGCGAAGTGGACTATTTAGGAGTTGCTGCATTTTATCTATGCTAGGTTTGTTTTCTCAGTTAACTGTGAGCATTCCATCGGCATCAAAATAGTGATTCGTTCAATAGTGATTAATTTTAAAGAAACTGACCTGAGTACAGGCCATTTCGACGGTTGCCCTTTAGGTCTAGATCTAAAATTGATACCCAGTTTCTCTTGCTTGTTGAACTCAGAAGGCCCTTATTTTTCGAACAGGTTACAAGAGAGAAAAATATTTCATAAAAACGTAGTTTTGTATTGTAAAACTGAGGTGTGCGCAAAAAAATATGAGTTGAAAAGGACGGATCACCCATTTAAGCCTGATCCAAAATAACTTCTCTCAAACTGATAGATATGTCTTGGCTTAGAGATAGCCCTTTGCCAGAAACACAAGTGGTAGTAAAAGGAAGAATTTTATTTTCGGTCTACGCAGTCACTAATTAATATTGGTTTATGAACAAACGTCACTGAGTTTCTCAGACGTTGCAATCGCTTTTCATATTCCTCGTATCCACTTGAAGAGCACCAAGAGGGAAAAAAGAATACCAAACTTACTGATTCATCACATAGTCTTATACAAAATATCATTATAACATACAACATACATTTTTACTGGATAAAAGGAAGGGTGAAGGGAGAAACTAAAGTTCTAGTTCTCGTATTATTGCTCTTTGACTCGCAAATAACCATATACCCTGCATCCTACCGTCCAAGAAAACCAAGATGCATTGTTTTACATGCTGGTAACGAATTATATACATGTGGTTTACACAGAGATAATTTGTTGGGAAAAGAAAAATTGTAAATTCAAATTAAAAATGAAAGGATTTATTGAAACAATTTTACCAAAATTGTACAAACCTCTTTGATTAGCCGAGATTTGCAAGCAAAGGAAATATATAAATAATTTTTGTTTAAAATGTACTAGACATTTTCATCATGTAGTTATGTTTTTGGTTAAGAAAATTCGCCACTTTCCAATAATAAAAAAATACACCAGATAAATAATATAACTGCAGACATTTGTAATTAAGGATGTTTCAAGTGAGAACAATCAAAATTATTTCGAAATCAGAATATTCTCCGAAAGTTTATGCTTTGCAGACGAGCTAAAATTGATTCTTCTCATCAAAAGTCAAAGTTCAACGTGCTGAATAATAAATATTCGGCAATACCTACCTGTTAACCTTGTAAATGATAAGAAAACATAATTTTCATATTTTGCAATAATATTAATATTAAACATTAACGACGTATCAGTTACGTAATTATATAGAAATAGCCAAGTGAATTATTTTCTTTTGGATTCTGCAAGACATTTTTCACTCTTCCGTGCCTTTTGACACTAAATCTTGGAGGTTGTGGGTGGAGACATGTCGCCCGTGTCTCCTTTCTTATCTCTTCCAATGAATTTTCCCTGCACAAAGAATTGCTTGCGAAGTCACGTGGTCGTTATTTTTGGAGAGCTCCTTCATGTTATCTGTACATTTCACACAATCAGGGTAAGTTTATGGGCGTTTATGAGAGCTTGCAGCTCTGTGATCCAAGGCGGTTCCTGGAAAAAAGAAATGTATTCGTAAAACCGACCTCACTCCGTGTTCTGCAGTATCACAAGCCTCAGTGCTTCTCCTTTCCTGCCATACCTGGAAACCACGATTGTGCAATTCTTATAATTTTCAGTGTGTCTAAAACAATTCCTGTAGAAAATGTACCCTGATAAGCTATTGTTTATGTCTAAATTAAAAGAATAACTTGAGCTTTTCCTCATATTAAAGAATTTTCAATTTACTAAAAAGCGACTTAAGCAGAGAATTTTCAATTTTCGTTTAAAAAATTATAAATGTTATATTTAATTAAGCTTTTTGTAGGGAATATCTTCCAGAATAAAGAATAGTGGATGAAATATCTGAATTAGGGAGGATTTGGAGTAAAATATCATTATATATTAAAAATTACAAAACAGAAGAACTAAAACTCATTAAAAATACAATTATCGACATTATTACTTCTTCGACACTACATGATCAATATACTGCGCTGTGGAAATGAAGTCATTATGGAGCAATTATTAACAAATTCCATATATTAATTTTAGCCAAATAAGATCCCGGTAAGAGCAAGGGTCTCTTGCCTTTTTTTGCAGGGAATGCTGAATGAAGTGATTGGGTGATGATGAAGAGCGAAAGGAATAGGATGATGGAGAGAGATGGCAGGAGAAGATAGTGGCATTTTTGAACCTTCCGACCATTCGCCTCTACCGAGGGAAAACACGAAAAATCCTGATCAGGATGGCCGGCCCGATTGCGAAGTCAGTGCGCTACGCCCTGATCCACTTCGCTCAGTACTCCATACATATTATACTATATTTATTATATGTTAAGAAGTAACAGTTAACGTCAAGACTATTCTAATTCTATGGAAGTAAGTTCGCATAGGCAACAAATCGTAACAAACTATTCAAATCGCCAATTTGGTGCATTATTGAATTTAATGTAAGTCAATGAGTGAAAGTAACGAAATTTGCTAATTTTCATATGTATTAAGGTTTTTTATGTATTATCCAAATTATAAATATTTTTTTTAATAATCCGTTATTGATTTTTATGGAGTTCGGAATACACTGCATACCTGGATCGAGATGGTTGGTGGTTACGAGGGAAATATGAACAGTTGAATGGAGCTACATGTTCTCTTATGGAGGGAATAATGAAAGGAAATTATGGGAGGGAAATATGAAAAGACAAACCGTGGCAAGATAACAACTAGTTAGTTAGAAAATAAGTCAATCACAATCATTCAAATTAAGTAAAAAATAAAATCATGTATTTAACACGGGCATTAACTGATTCTTAATATCTCGGGCGACAAAAACTTCCGCTTAATGGCTCTCGGGCTGAGTCACCGCTCAATCATTAATACCCATCTAAATCTTTTGGCGCGTAAGTAACTATTATTGGTAATAATAATAATAATAATAATAATAATAATAATAATAATAATAATAATAATAATAATAATAAAAGCAGTATTTTCGTGTTTCGGGTCTTTAATCAGGTTAATAGATTCCTCAGAGACAGCATCGTTGATCTTCCGTCACGTGTTTTAGGCCACGATCCCATCTCATTTTATCTGCATTAATGGTACTGATTTTGTCAGAGAAGTACTTTAAATAAATTCTCTACAAATGACCTGAAAGAGGAAGACGTACATTTGTGATCAGAAACGAGGTGCAGTGTTCCGATTATCGAGGCAAGAATGACGTAGTGTGAGCTTGTTTGTACTGATCACATTGTGAACTATCGTGAGCCGAAAACATGAGGCCATTGACACAACACTGGTTATGCATTCATTGTTGCCTCTCATTAAGGCAAACAACAAATTTAGTCCCGTTATCTTTGCTTCCACTGTTCGCGTGTACTGATCATCTCACTTCAACACAGACTATGCAAACGATTGCCAATACTCATTGCGCATTTTCTGTTGTTCAAAGCCCCATGTGTAATTTGCTTACACGTTTGTTAGGTGATGAATACATTTACGTTCTCACAACCGGCCGTCCATGACGATTTGCCATTAATCTAATTACAATCAGCGAAATATGAACTAGGATATCGTGAATCGAACGCATTGGCTGCAAGCATTTATCATACAGTCATGTGAAAGTAGCTCGTTAATAAAGTGCGTGCGTTTCGTTTATCGCCGTGCGCCATTGGTTGGCCCACACGCGGTTAACAGTCGTCGTAATTTTGTCGTCATAAATAGCGCGCACGATCCGGCGCCCGGCCTCCAGTAGCGCGCGAGTCTTCTTGCAGAAGCTGCGCGCGGAGCTGCGCGGGTCGACCCAACCGAGCGCCCATTTTATTGGTCACACCCTGGTGCAGCCCGAGTGGCGAACTGCACCAGACCACCTTAAACAACTAAAGTCAATTCACAAGTTCTAACGTTCAAGCCCAAGTCAATTACCGGGAGTCTGCAACTCAGCCTCGTTCACCGAGGAGCCCTAAGTTCTCATTCCGACGACAGTGGCAGATTTTGAAAACTAGATAAATAGCTGGATCTAATGTAGTCAATCATTGTCTCACTGTAATGTCAGACGATGGATTGTATGATCGTTCTTTTCCGGCAGTATCGGGAGGAAAAAAAGAAAAGATATGGTCGTATTCTCAAGTTAGCTTTTGTCATCAGGGAATGTGTAAAAAACGTTCTTTGTATTATTTAGTCAGATAAAACCATAAAACCATATGTGTTTCAAACCAGTTAAATTCCCAATAAACTGTAGTCTACCATTTCATCACTGTCTATAACTCATTGCGCTCTGGAGTGGTTCATTTGACTAAAATTCAAGTAAGAATTAAAGGCCGAGTTAGGGTTCAAAAGCGAACATTTAAACCGCTAATTGTGTGAAGTATCAATTACAGAATTTCATGACACAACTATATAAATTGTAGGTCGAGGGTAGAGTAGAGGCTCTATTCTTTCCCAGTTTAACACATGAAATGGTGGTGCGTGGAAAACCTGCCCGACACAGACGACATGGGCTAAGGCAAACCTGACCCATTTTTATAGACATTGTAGTCCCCCTGTTTTCACATAATATTGTGAAACTATTGCGACTGAATATACTTTAGTATCGGATCAATTTTTAAGAAAATGTTTAAATTTATAATTTGCAGTTACTTCAAGCCAAATTAGTGTAACTATTCGTTTTTCACGTTCCTTCTTTTTAAGAACTGTTTCTTTAGAACAGATTTTCTATAAGAAGAATTGTACTTTTGCAAAATTCACTCAATATTTTACTTTTGCAAAATTTGCAATTTTCAAAAATTCGCTGTGTGCTGGAAATATGACTTAAACCACTTTTCACCATCTTTTGGTAAATAACAGAAAAAAATTAAAAATTATCAGTTTTTGAGAGAATAATTGTTGGAACATTGCACGAAAAATTCCTAAAAATTGTAGATTATATTTTTCAAGCATGACCTTGTTTCAAGATGTGTCTTTGGAAAACAGTTTTCATTAACGAAAAATTCTCTCTCTTCAATACTGTGGTTCAAGGAAGGCCAAAATATTTCAAACATTTGCAATTTTTAAAGAAAGATGTTTTCAAGAAAATGATACATGCGCCAATCTTTTAAGCGTTCTTAATGCTGTTCAAGAGCAATTAAAAGGTTTGAATACTTTTATTTAGAAAAGTTTGAAAATGTTGAGACTTCATGTAAAGGACCCCCGAAAGTCAAGATATCCATTTCCAACTCTCAGGGAATCGAGTTCATTCAGATCTATCGGAGAATGTCAGTGGGTAGAAATCGTTAGGATCTAGCGTTGACCACAGGCAAACTGACGGACGTTTCGCCGTCAATCGATTTTGCGGTATCAACGACCCACGAAATACCGATTGTGATTAAACATCGCTAGAACAAGTAATTATCTAGGTATAGGAATTTATCCGTTTTTTCGTAAGCTGGTCTCGAGAATAAGAGTTTTTCTCCAGAAAAATCACCGTATTTTGAGCGCGATTACAATATCTTTGTACGAGGCAACGCGAAAGAGTAAAACGCGCACCGTGATCGCCACACTTGTGTATTCGTGACTGATATTTGTGTGTCGGTCTAAAGGAAAAAGAAAGTCTCACGCAAATAATCCCGGGCATTAGACTACTTGAAGAATATTTGGATTGAAAATTCGAGAACTGATATGTGATTGGCAACGGTTTGTTCGCAATTTAAGACGCGTACAATGCATTCAAGCAATAACGGTTTTAGCATCTACTGTAAAAAAAGTTTGTTTAAAAACAATGTAAACGTAAGTTAGAAAATACCATTTCGTTGCCTTATTTCTTTTTGTTGTTATTGTTGTGTGTCTAATTTATATTTGTATAAATTCCAAATATTCTTATAGTCTGGATACATACTACACTGTGTTGTGAATCAAATATTGTTGCTTTCTTAAATTGTTGTCTAAAGTAAAATACTTCTTATACTTAAATATTGATGATTAAATAAATTATCTCAGATTCCAATGTGTACAAGAAACGTTTTTTTAGTCTTTTCAAACTAGCTTTTTTGTGCTTTCTTTCATTATCTGCTGCAATAGGTACTTGTCGTTTGCACAATTAAGACACCTTCCATGTGACCAACTGGAAAGGTTCCCGCCTTTTAGTCAGAATTGATTTTTTGCAAAACAGACGGCGATGCTGATATGCTATAATGAAAATGAAGGCATTACTTTTATGTTGATGAATGAAGTTAGGCTTGAGCAAAAACAAAATATTTCTGAAAAAAATTCTGGACGTTGAAAGTCTTCAATTCTGAAACGATGCATGTGTAAAGAAAAAAAAAACAATTTCCATCAAGACTTGCACTTTGTTGCAACTGGAACTTGTTGGACCATCAATAATAATGACCTACAAATAGAATAAGCCGCGCCTCAGTCCGAAAATCTCCGTCACGCGTTTAAAGACAATTCAAATTTTGGATTTACTGTCCATAGAACTAAAATTCACGGCAATGGATAAAGTGGCAGTTGTTTGGGAACTGTGAATTGAATTGTGCATTAAAGATAATTTTTATGAAAAATTCGTTCTTGGAGGATACCAAAGTGACCAATTTCAAAGAAAACATGATAAGCGTGCAAAGCCAGCACACTTAAAAACTTCATCTTGTCTTGACAGAATAGAATTGAATGTCCGTTCCAACACGAGGAAGCAGGGAGGAGCTGGGGGGATCTTTTTCTTAACCGTCACAGTCACTGACTATACCTTCATAAATCGTGTGGTACCTGTTATGCTCGCGCTTCGAGATTCAATAAGGAGAATGTTGACAATTTTTTCAACTTGCTAGAAGAGACTTATAACAAATATTATTTCATAGGTGACCGGCTTTTCAATGTGGATGAAACCGGTCCCACAATTGTCCAAAGCAAGAATCCCTTTGTAATTTCAAGAAAAGGAAAAAACAAATATCTGCTTCAACATTTGCTGAAAGGGAAGCGACAATTACAATCATAAATTGCATGAGCGCATCAGGAATTTTGTGTCGCTTCTATGGTTATTTTCCCCAGGGCTAACATTAAACACAGTCTAATGAATCATGTTCTAATCGGAACAATAGGTCGAGCCCATCCTTGAGTATGAGTTCAAAGTAAAGTTTTTGAAGAATGTGTCACTTAATATCAATGAATAAATGAAAATAATTTCGTTGACAGGTAAAAGCCGTAAAGCGGTGGCGTTGGTGTACAGAGCGTTCAGTCATGTGACCGGTTTTTTTGACAGCCACTGATACCATACCACATGGATCATGCCTGGGGGCGTGGCCCAGTGATTTAACATGCAGAAATGATTCTATTTCA